GCAAAAAGAATTATATAATTCCTATGTTTACACATAAGTCCAAAAATCTAACCATATACAACCTTGAAGCAGGACAGTCCCACAATATTCCTTTTCCAGTCTCTTGCCTTCATTCACCACACTCTTCTTTTTGAACAATCATCTACCCAAGAGACTGCACAGCAGCAACTGGCATGTCATGACAAGCAGCCTGTATTTAGAAGACCAGAATGACAGGCACTCCAAACATGAAACTAGTATTACAAATTACCATCTGCAGTGCAGTAGCTTAGTTCACAGGTATCAGTATATATAGCTACTCAGGGTGAGAATCTTTCCAACTAACTGCTAGGTTTAAAAATCTCTGGAGATTCTCAGGATCATTGCCTTGCCCATGTTCTATATATAATTGTATGGCTTGTCACTTATACTTTTATTCTTTAAAAACCACTAGGTGAAATATTATCTTTCTGAAGGTGATGAAGCTGAAGTATAGGAGGAGTTAATTGACCACACAGTAAAAAACAGTGCATTTCCATTCCCCATTTATTGAATATATTTAAATGTCAGTAATTTGGATATGCAATAATAGGCCATATTCATTTTCTTTTTGCCTTGAAACAATTACAGCCCTGAACTACACTTTTTATTTCACTGTAAAAATAATTACACTTGGAAATTTAGAAATGCAACAGAAGAACACCTCAGAATTATACATACAATCCTCATATTTTCCCATCCTTACGTTCACAGAATTTTCTCCAGTTTCTTTTTTTGTCCTCCCAGGCTCTTTAATAAACCAAAATTAATCAATAGGCCCAACATCAGGTATCTAACTGAAAAGGAAAAAGAAAATTCTATACTCATAGATAACGAAATGAAACACCATTAAGGAATGTTTAAAATCATGGAAGCAATTCTCTGAAAGGTAAGGCCGGTAATTCTGGACAAATAAAAAGACTAGCAAAATAAAAAAATTTTTAAAAAGCCAGATCATTAAAATCACTGCATTTACAGTCTGTTCTTTGGAACACGTGGGAGGAAGTGTACGGCTGAATATTTAATTTGAGGATATTTGTAGCTACCATAAAAACGAACATGGCGAATTTTACTATTAATGCCAACCATGACCAGCACCCTATTTGATCCTGGAAATAGCAATTAATCACAAGAGATTATGCCTGGTGGGAATCTCTCAGGAAGACCGAACAGCTGCGAACATGGGGTACAGGCACACTCCTTTTGCCAAATAATTTCTTTGGTTTTTTACTGCACTTCCCTTAATTTTAAAAAAGTAATTTATCAGGGCCAGCCAAATAGCTCAGCGGATTAAAGCGCCTGCAAGCAGGTGCAGGAGCTAGGGGTTAGATCCCCAGGCCTGCCTGCCCCCCTCCCGCGCGCTGAAAAAGCAATTGAGACTGGGCATGGCGGTGCGCACCTGTAATCCCAGCTCTTGGGAGGCTGTAAACAGGCGGATCACTACCAGTCCGATCTAGTAGTGAGACCCTGAACACCCTGTAGACCCTTCCCTAAAATAAAGGGAAAAAAATAAAAGTAATTTATCGACAAAGAGTCGAAAATCAGTAATTGTACAACCTCCTAGACCAGTTTCTCGCCCCGCCCTCCCTACGTCAGGGGAACAAGGCGCGCGTCTAGCAGGCCCCGCGTAGAGCGGTGCCGTGCGCACATCCTGCGCCCTGGAGCCCCGCCGTTGTGTCCCGCGGGCCGGGTCACCACCCTGCGCCTCGGCGGCAGGATTCGGACTTCCTAGCTCCACAAACAGGGCGGTACTCTGGGATGCCTGCGAACCCAGGAAGACTAGCGGTGACAGACCTCCTCGCAGCGAAGGCAGCCGCAGACTCTACCCAGCAGGCTGTGCGAGCGCCTACAACTCCCATCATGCCCCACGGGCGGCTGTGGGATTTGTTCCAGAGCCTTTGAACCCCGGAAGCAAAGCACAGAGCCTGAATCCCTGATTTCCCAAGAGGCGTGGCTTCTGGACCGGAAGAAGCGTTTGTTGCCTAGGAAACGTGGTGTGTCTAGGCGGCTGCTGCGCTACTGATGCTGCAGCTGAGGCAGAAACCGCCAGTTGCCTTCACTTGCAGAGGCGGGCCAGCCCTGGGCAAGGAATTTTTCCAATGGAGGCGTAGAGAAGAAGGCTGAGGCACCAGATTTCCATCCCACAGGCGAGAAAGAGTGCGAGAATCCATCCCGGCTCCTCATCAACTACTGAACTCTCCTACTAGCTTCAAAGTTCAGATATGACCCTCTTTCCTCAAAATTTATAGCCAGAGGTCACCTCCCCGTCAGTTTACAATTTCTTTTTATCTTTACCACGTTTTGAACTCCACGCGACTCGTTTCTAATGTGTGAAAGGTGGAAAAAGAAGAGTAAACTTGTGTGGTGAGTACAAGGGGCCCGTTGTGGTTGGTTGACTTTGAACAGTGCCCAACTTGTGCCTTTTTACATGAAGTATGGAAAGCAGAAAAATCGAAATTTTATTATCAGAAACCGAAAGCTGAATAATGTTTAAATGGGTAGAAAGTGTGCAGCCCTTCACACTTTAAGTGTGAAATATAGAAAGCGTAGAAATTGAAATTTCATTGTCAGAAACTGAAAGCTGAATAATGTTTACATGGGGTAGAAAGTGTGCAACCCTTAACTCGTTTCAAGTTTACAAAGCAGCCTTTATATGTGTTTTCTTTCTGTTCCTATCTCTGGGTGCAATTTAACTTTCTAGCTTGTAGATCGAGGTAACATCCTATTTCCCTGACAACTTGTAGGAAGCTGATTCTGAGAGGGCTTGAACATTTGGCTGGGGTATAAATGAGCAACTAAAAAGGTAGGTTGGGTCAAGATTGGGAAGAACTTACTAGCTATGCAAAAACCAGTCATTGAAGAACACAGTCAACTTACAAAGGAACACAACTAGTAGCAGGGTTAATATTCAAACCAAAGGAATCTTGATTCAAGTACAGGAATTGTGGATTACAGAAAATTTGCCTGAGCTAAATAGTAAAAGTTCTGCCAAGATCATACAGTACAGAAAGGAAGGTTTTTAAGCTGAAAGGATATTTTGTTCCTGAGGCATTCAGTAGTGGTGTTCTAGTTATTAGTTTATGGTATGAAATCTCATTGTCAACTTTGTACCTTTTTCCCAAACGAAGATTATAATTTTCTTTTAAAAATTGAAATTTACAATGGTTTTGAAGTAAAACAACTTGGAGCATTAAAATTTGCTAAGCATACTTTATAACATATACTAGCTTTATTAACTGCTTGTTTTTCAACTCTGAATCCCACTAACTCCCTCACTGCTCAGAATTGTGATTATCAAATTATCCACTGTTCTCATTTTTTACTGATGTTCAAGTTTCTCTGACCCTCAGAATGTTTTGTACTTTATTTTTACAGTACTGGGTATCAAACTCAGAACCTTGTGCATGCCAGGCAGGTGCTGATGCCACTGAGCTTCCCCCCGCCCCAGGTGTTTTATTTTTAATGCAAATTATCTGCAGTAATCTCAGAGCATTCATAATTAGCCTTTGGAAAACCTTATTCTTGTCCAAGATCTTGTTTTCTTTAAATTTAATATGAAAGAAATGGAAAGAAACGAAAAAAAATCAGACAAGATCTCTCCTTGGGGCTGTCCAGATAGCTCAGCAGACTAAAGTGCCTGCTTAGGCAGAGCACAACGGCTGGGGTTCGATCCCTGGGTGCAGCTCTGGCCCTGCCCCCAGGGCACGCTGAGATGGCAAATGAGACTGATTGTGGTGGAGAGCACCTGTATCCCAGAGCTTGGGAGGCTGAAAATAGGAGGATCACTATGGGTCTGTTCTGTGTAGTGAGACCCTGTAGACCTTGTACTAAATACATTTGGGAAAAAAAAAAAAAAAGGTCTCTCTTTGTATTTCTTTAGTAATAAAATAATTTTTTTTTCTTGGAATATTTTCCCTTAGTTTTAAAACCTAATTTGTTTATAAAGAGTACTTGTAGAGGTTTCTAGAGTATTTTCTTTGTTTTAAAAAACTAAGTAAAATCTTTTTCAGACTGGTTAAGAAATCATTCACATTTTGAAAAAACACACCGAAGAGATGGTATTGCATTTTCAAATGATAAAATATCATTATAATGGTACATAGATTAAAACGTTTTGGCCTTGCTCTAGGCATGAAGAGATCATAAAAGGCTATATCTACTTTCTCAAATTATATGCAGTTAAGACACCAGAAAGATTTCCATAGGTAAATACTCATCTAAAAGTACTACTGTCTCACTGCATCTCCTATACATTTGCCATGCATTTTAGCATATTAAAGAATCTGAAGAATATTAATCTATAAAAACCTGTTGAAACTTACAGAATTCCAAATTTCCCAATCTTACATGACCTTGAAATCCTGAAGATAATTCCTAAAATCATCTTCCAAAGAATACTCCTGGGAACATCCTATGACAGAGAATTTACTAATGGACCCAAAGTTGTATAAGAACATAAAATGTCTTTTTAAAAGTTGAGAAAAAAATAATAACGAGGATGGCAGGAAAAAGAAAAAAGAATTGCCATATTAAGTGTCAGACAAAAAAAATTAAGGTATAAAAACTGAAATTTTCAAAAGACAGAAAACAAAATACTGTCTCAAATACTGAGAAGGAAATATTTTTTTCAAGCCTACCACTGAAACTGAAATAAATTTTATAAATATCACTAGGTAAAATTTAAAACTTCTCTGTAGCACAGAACAACAAGAGTGAAAAATAATTTTCATTGATGAAAATTGTGACATGGAAAGGTCTTTCTCATATGAGTAGTAAAAGAAAATCAGTAATAGGGGAATAGCCCTGGAATATAGCAGATAATTCATAATAGAAGAAATGTAATTAAAGTCGGAAATGTTCAACTTTATGCTAATAAAATGCAAATTTAAATAATACTACAGTGCTGTGTTTTACTTTTCAGTTAGCAAGCATTGGAAAAATGTGTTAACCATACCCAGTTTTGGTAAGAAAACAGAATTGAAAGTTGTAACCACCATCGGTAAGTGTTCAGAGATGTTTCTGAAAGACAATACCACAGTATCTATCGAATTTTACATAATGTTACTCTCTGACACAATAATTCTACCTCTACAAATATATTTCTAAGAAAATGCATAAAGATGTTTACAATTGGCAATTGGGCGTATTTATTGAAGGATCAGTTTTCAGAGTGAGATGCATGTAATTTTTTTTGTTTTGAGTGTGCAAATTACAAGATTTATTAAATGTATACTCTGTGTGTGATACTGGAAGGATACATCTAGTAGCCGAGATAGTGCTGGGGCTCAGTGTGACATCTTGGCCTGTCGAGTACCTGGAATTGAAGACGCTGTAAGTGTCATCTAAAGCAAACTGTCTCCGATCATCTACCTTCTTATCTCCTGGCTGTTTCTCTCCTCTGAAGATAGTGCTAGAAATCAAAATTCCTCTTTCCCAAGACAGATAAGTCATAGAAATGAGAACCCTCTCTCCTAAATCAAGCATAAACCCTAGGACGGTCACTCTGCTTCTCCTTTCTCCCTTGAAGATTCTCATTCTGCAAGGTTCTGCCCCTTAACTGAGAAAAAGGGGTGCTCACAGAGAGACCAACAAGAATCTTCACAGGTGGATGTGGTGTGCATAACTGTAATACCAGCACTTTGTGAGGCTGAGGCATCTACCACAAGTTTAAGGACTGCCTGCGCTACATAGTGAGACCGTTTTCAGTACTTTTTTTAACCAAAAAAAAGAGAAAAAGAACACAGGATTTGTTGGTTCCCTTCTCAATATTACCATTAGATCACACCCTTTTGTCCCGCCACATGTCTATAGTCTCTCCATTTTTCATCAACTCTGTGCATTAAAAGGAACTGCAGAGTGTTTGGGCTTTTCTTTCTTTTCTTTTAGGCCTTTCTTTCTTTCTTTTCAGAAACAGGGATTGAACTCAAGTACTTGCACTTGCCGGGGAAACGCTTATTCTACTGAGCCGTCTCCCCGCCCTCTAAATAATTTTTATTTATTTACTGCGATACTGGAGATTGAACTCAAGACCTTGTACTTGAAGGCAGGTGCTTAGGCCACTGAGCTGTCTCTCCAGCCCTTGGGCTTTTATTTCTGAAGTTTCCTGTGTACTTAAAACTTAAATTTGGGCTGGTAAGATAGCTCGGCTGTTTAAAGCCCCTTATTAGGTAAGCTTAGGCAGGCATAAGGGACCATGGTTTTATCCCTGGCACCACATGCTGCACCAGCCCTGCCCCCAGGCCAGGCTGAGCTGGCCACCAAAAAAAAAAACACCACTTAAATCTGTTAGCTTTTCTCATGTTGAAAAAACATGACTTTATTCGGTAAGCTAATAGTTGTTAATAGTGACTGCATATCAGAAACTAAGTTTTAAAATTTATAATACTCGGGGCTGGGGAGATGGCTCAGTGGAATAAGCATTTGCCTGGCAAGTACAAGGGCCTGAGTTCAATCCCTGGTTCAAAAAAAAAATTTATAAAACTCTAAACTAGGGGCTGGTGAGATGGCTCAGTGGTCTAAAGCACCTACTTAGAACAAGCTTAGCAAAGCACAGGGACCATGGTTCAATCCCCTAGCACCACATGCCAGCCAGCCCCGCCCCCTGGTGGGCTGAGCTGGCCACACACACACACACACACACACACATAAATAAATAAAAATTTTTAAAAAATAAAATAAAAAAAAATGTTTAAAAAAAAACCCTAAACTATGATTATCCTATAAATACTCTAGCCCTGTTCTCAGAAATTCTAATTCAGTAGTTGATTCCAGAGTACAATAAGGTTTGGAAATCATGACTTAGGAGTAGGAAGCTACAGAAAATTTCTATGTCCTATTCTGACATTAGAACATGATAAATACATGAGTGGCTTGGGTTACTTTTTACTTCATTTACGCATGCAAGACTTATAGAAGAAAGACTATAATCACTACAAATTGAAACGTATGTAAGGTGATACTGTAGTTCCTTATAAAGTAGCTTCCATAAATATGATAACATCCTTTAGAAAAGCTATTTTAAATTGTATATCCCAAAATATTGCAATAATGTATGTAATAATCCATAGGAAAAGCATAGAAAGTCATGATACTATGAAAAGTGAATATGCAAGCACTAACCTTGTAACAGTCAGTACTTTGTAGTAGATGCCCAAAAGAGGAAGGTATAAAAAGAAGTTATAGTTCTTAAGATATATTCAAAATTCCCTAGAAAATTAAAAACAGGAAGGGACGGAGACATGACTCAGTAGAATAAGTGCTTGGCTGGCAAGTGCAAGGGCCTGAGTTCAATCCCCGGTTCCGAAAAAAAATAAAAATAAAAATAAAAACAGGAAGTATACATTTTTACCAAGTAATAAAAATGTACTTGAATTAAAATAATCTGTGAATTACTTAATATTAGAAGGCTACTTTAAAATAGAGTCTTCAAAGTGAGTTTTTCAGCTGAAATTCAAAGAAATTATTTAAATGAAATTTGAATTTTTATTATCAAGAAAAGTGTTGATTCATGTGGCAAAATCCAAGTACCTGAAGTCAAGTCCACCCCCTGGATAAGAGTGAGATGGCTATCATATAGATCTCACCCACTAGGGCACAGCACCTTCTTTTTTTCAGTTTACCACTAAAATTCCATTTTGAAACTGGTCTCCACAGTGTTATCCCAAGGAGCTATAGCAAATACCAGTTATTCAGCCTCCTTTGAGATTTAGTTTTCTTGAAAGCTTCTTGTAGGTTGAGCTGCATATCCTTCAACGTCTATCCTTGCCTGGGATGGTATAGAATAAAAAATACAAGGAGGTATCAAATCATAAATTTATGGAACTGTGAATGAAGATGGTAATCAACTAAATGATATCAGTGTTATGAACAACTTTACAAATGAAGGTTTAGAAAGTGACAGGAAATATTTGGTGCAGTTGTATTTTAGCTATGCCTATACCATTTGATGATTGGCAGAAGGAATATTTGCCTTTTCCTATTATATAGTATTATGTGGAGGAGGCAGATGATGGAATCAAGCAAGCGTCTTTATTTTTTTATTTTTTAAGAGTACAAAATGGTTAAAAAAATACAAAATTTCATTAATAGGAATTCAGTAGTGGTTGTTGTGGTCAGATATAAACCTGCAAAATTGATTTAAAAAATTATAAGAAACTAAAAAGAAGAAAAATTGTGTAAAAAATTTATGCAGTAAGTGCTCCCTTTAAAAGACCAGCAGAAATCCGCAGCATAGTTATTCAAACTATCCTGCATATATACATTAATATATCTTTTTCTTTTCTTTCTTTTGTCCTTGTCCTCTTATGAGATATTTCTTACTCTTGAACAGATCTTTCCCTTTCATAGTATCTATTGCACTTTCAAGATTTTATTTACTCTTTCAGGTTCTCACATCAGTGACACAGTATGATCTTTGTACACCTGGGTCTGATTTATGTCACTTAGCAGCACACTCTAGTTGCATCCATTTACCTATAAAAGCGTCAAGTTTATCTTTTCATTTTTATTTTATTTTTTATTGTTTTTTATTATTTTTATTTTTTATTGAGAAATATATATGAATGAGACAGTTTCACAGCTGATTAATAGGACAGTTTTGATAGTCAATACACTGTACATTATTATCTTCTTAGTGGTTATCCATGGTACAAGAAGCAGACAGGATATTCTGTCCAAACACTATTATTATACCTCTTTCTTCTCATTGAGTTAAGTGAAAGTAGCTGTAAATTTATCCTATTAAGTTTATCTTTTCTTATAGCTGAGTAATACTTGATTATGTAAAAATACCACATCTTTCTTATCCATTCCTCAGTTGATGGGCATCTGGTTTCCTTCCAAGATTTAGCTGTGACAAATTGTGCTGCTATAAACATGGGTGCACATATATCACTGTGGTACAATGTTTTCAGTTCTTTTGGAAAAAATGCCTAGGATGGGAATAACTGGGTTGAATGGGACCTCCAATCCTAGCTTTGTGAGGAATCTCTGTACTGATTCCATAGTGACTGTACCAGTCTGCACTCCCATCAACAGTAGAGAAAGGGTCCTTTTTCCCCACAGACCCACCAGCATTTGTTAGGCAAGCTTCTTTGAAAAGTTTGATTTGGAGACCTGAACTTTAAATGTAATAGCACCATAGATGGATATGAATAGCTATAAAAATACAGCATAGCGTTTTTAATTGACTTCAAAATGACTAACACATATTTTTTTCCCCTGTACAAATAGACACAATTGAGCAAATAATAAAAACATTAACAAAGTGACTATGACAGTTTGAGAAAGCTAAATTATAATCTAAAATTGGTATTTATGTTCTGATTCCCTACTAGTGTCATTTTAATAGCATAAGATATTTCAGATAAGCTACAGTTAACAAAATAGATATTCTAATAAAGTAATAAAAATGTCTGTGTGTGAATCTATTATTTCCTTATGGATTTATAGTGATTTACCAAAATATATGTAAGATATAAGGGGAAATAGGATAAAATATATCAAGATTTTTTGCTTCTTCTAACAGAAAACCCTACCCAAACTGGAATTAAAAAAGCAAGCCCCCCAAAAAGATTTTATTTCATAATTTTTATTGTAAAAAAATATAACAAATGATCTGTCTTCCGATCACTTAGGTAACTAAAATCTCACTTTTTCTCTGCTTTCTGTCCACCTTCTACTTGCTGATCTTTAGCATCAGATTCTCCATGAACCTCATGGCCTGATACTGTTTCAGATTTCACAGAAAGGTTGAGGCCTGAATCATAGATATTTGAAGTTCCTCATTTGACAGACTCCCCATATTACTAAGGCTGAACACATTTCTTTTTTCTTAAATATTATAAGTAAAACTGGAAATAGGGTTATTTGAAGGGCATTGTTTGGTGCTGGCAGAGGTTAATAGCTGCCAATCTGCATTCCAGTTAAGGCTTCTTTCTATAATCAGCTTATGCAGTGTACTAGGTGCAGAGCTATATTGACATGCTTTTTAAGAGTATAATTGTGTGTCTTTATTAAAGTTTTACACGCACACCAATATTTTCCATATTTAAGATGCCTTTGAATAATTTTTTATTTTTGTGCAGCTGCTTTGTAAATATTTGAATCACATTATGGGATTGCTAGACAGACTTTCAGGCCTGCTTGGCCTAAAGAAGAAGGAAGTTCATGTTTTGTGCCTTGGGCTGGATAACAGTGGCAAAACAACGATCATTAACAAGCTGAAACCCTCCAACGTAAGTATCTTTGTTAGATGCTTCATGTATTTTCTCCTAGAAAAAGCTAATATGCAGACTTACTTTGCTTGATAATCATGTTATGAAATGTTTCTTCCTGTACTTTAAAATAATTATTGATGAACCATAATATGTAGTACATATGTAAACACTGATTATTAAACTAGTCATTCTTTCTTAAAATTTTCTTCCTCATGATCTTTACACATTTGCTAAGTTTGCATTAGGTTGCACGTCTTCCTTTTAGTTTCTGTTTTGTTGGAGGAGCAATACAAAAGGGAAGATGATCAATTTTGCAAGTTCTATGGTTAGACAGTTTTACCCTATGCATGATAGAAGGCAGGATGATTTTAAGCAATAAGTGTAAAAAGATAGTATTATATAGCACATAATGTGTGAGTCAGAGGTGGGTTCTGCTGTTTGTAAAGAAAGCTTGCATCAAATTACTTTCATAGGGGCCGGGGAGATGGCTCAGTGGAATAAGTGCTTCCCTGGCAAGCTCAAGGATCTGAGTTCAGTCCCCAGTTCCGCAAAACAAAAAACAAATTACTTTCATAGTTTCTGATATCATTTTCTGACCCTTAATCTTGAAGCAACTCTCCTATCTCAAAATAATTGATGTCCAGGTCATAAGAGTAGAGTAGTTGCTTTGTTTTGCTTTGCTTTGCTTTTTTTAAAAAAGAAAAAAAAAACAAAACAAAAAAAAAAACAATAATGATAGTCAAAGAGAATTACTTGAATAGGAATTGTAAAGGCTACCAGAACTCTCACTCAGGTACGTGTAACATTTGCTTCCCTTGTATTTTAAACACATGAAGAATCAAATGTGAGCTTTCATTGACATTAGCACATGACTTGTAATGATACTAATTGTAAAATTCTACAGTACTCTGTTAGGAAATGCCTTACGAAACACTTCTACTTTTCATTTTAGAGAATAGTTGTCTACTTTTTTGTTAGATAACATCAGTTTCTAGACAACTAGGTATTTCCTAAACTGAGACTAGTATGTAATATTTAGCTGTCCTAGTGTTTAATATGAATATATTGAGATTGCTTGTATTTTCTAAACTCATGACTAGAGAGAAGTATTTTAACCTCATCACCCTTTGTGGGAATCTAGTTTTAGCTATCTTGTTTTTAGAGATATACTCTTATTTGTCTTTCTCCTAAAATTCTAATTTCCCCCCCACTTTCCAGAAATCTGAAATTACTTTGCATATTGATTGGATAAATTACTTATTACATTCTCCTCAACATATAAGAATACTTCACTTATTAAGCACTGAATCACAAATAACCTGGAATAATGTTTGGGATTTAATTATATATTCGAAATGAATAAATTGGTGGGTGATTGTTTTTATTTTTAGTTTTCTCCGGAATTTTGATTGATGGCAACAAGTTATAATTTTTAGCAAATGTAATGAAACTAACCAAACAAGAACTTTCTTAAAAATGTCGTTCTATTCCTGTTGTTGGTCTACCCCTAGATTGTCTGATGGTTCATTCTTATACTCTGTATTTCCTCACATCATTTCTTCTCCAATTTAGAGAATAAACAAATCTATTTGTTCCTAGAAAGAGCAAAAAGAAATAAATGTTGAGACTATCTTTTGGTTACTTTAGTGGAAATTGAGTTTCATATGAATCTGGAAGTACTAGATCACATATGTTCTCTTCTGATTAATTTGTGGTTTCTATTTTGTCATTATTTCCACTAGAACTTTGAGGAGAAGAAAAGTTAATGAATTTTATCATGAAGACTAGAACAAAAGTTAAAAGGAAGTTTGAGGAGAAACTGAAAACTTAGAAACAGGAAATAATTTTTTCAAACAAGTAACAAAGACATTTTTGGAAAAAAGCCAAGGCACTTAGTAGGATGGGTACAAGGAAAAGCTCAATACACACCCTTCAGAAAGACACCATGGAAACTCAAAGGAGACCCTCTTCATGTTATTTACTAAGATGAACAAGCTCCGGTCTCTTTTCAGTCTCTAATTTAACTTAAATTAGTCAGTAGTAGTTTACCAGACTGAACACAGTGGTGTGAGGCAGTTTCCCTTCTACTTCTCCCATTCCCACATATAAGCAACAAGATACACTGAAGGATTGTTTCAGTTACATTTGTAGCAGTTTGGAAAAAATATTGAGATGCCACTGACTAATATCAGTGAGAGTGTGATTATAATAATAAACACTTGATTATTTACAGACACTGTTTAATAATATATATCACATCTAAGAAAACGTAGGTTTAAATAACTAGTCCAAGGAAATATGCCAATTAGGAGCAGTTAGGAAGCTAACCTAATGTTTAGCGATAAATGCTAGGGACCAAAACTGAGTTACTGAAACAGAACCAGTGAAGTTTAGAGAATGATTACAAATGGAGTAAGGGGGGAGGAGGAATCAAGAATAACTTCTGAGCATCTGATTCAAAAATTAGATCAATTTTTATTCACATGGATGTATAGTTTTGATGATGGAAGGGCTAGGAAATGTTTGTCTAGTTAGGTTGTCAGTTTCCTATATTTTTGCCTTTTACACTTGTCAGCAGGTGTCTTATACTCTTGCTGCCTTTCAGTATTCTCCAAGCAGAACTTCCTCCTAGAAATTCAAGCTGCTACCTTTCTTTTTTAATATATGTAAAGGTCCTTATTTTATTTTTTAAGTATTTTTATTGAGAAACAAATAGCAATGAGACAGTTTGACAAACGATTGCTAGTTCATTTTCTTGCCTCAACAAATACTGCTTTTTTAAGTTAGTGCTACTCTGTAGACACAGAAGCTGCTCTTGCTGGGAGGCGTGTTCCTTCGTGGCAGAGGATTGTGACTAGAATGTACTCAGCCAGAACCCTGTTACAGCTATTCCCCTTCCTGCCATTCTCCCCTGGGTGTGTCTCCTTCCCAGATCAGTCTTTCCTAAGCGCTCATCTCCCTGGCTACCATACCGGTTCTGTTCTGTCCTCCTGTGGTCACCATTTCTTTGTATTTATCACTGCTCCAAATTGTGTTCATTTGTTATTAAGTTACTGATTTTTTTAATCTTTTATAGGTAATAAGCTCCTAGGGAGCAGGAACCACATAGATGTAGGGCAATCCCAAACATGAATAAACTTAATAACTATTTGTTGAAAGATATGAAAAGTCCTACACATGGGATGGGAGGCATAGCTCAGGGTTACAGTGCTTGTTTAACATGCACAAAGCTGTGGGCTCAGTCCCTAGCACCCCAAAACCAAAACACCCCAGAAAGCGTATAACATGGACTTGGGGTAAAGGCTTTTAAGTTGTTGCTTACTGCTTAACACAACACAGTATGAATTAAGATTTACTTGTTATTGGTATTCATTACTTGGGTGGTAAAGTTTAAATAAACTGAAAAAGATCACAGTAAAATATTATACAGTTATAAAAATTTTGTGTAAAATTTTCTTCAGATGTGAAAGATCTCCAAGATACAGTGTAACAAGGTTCCAAATGGAATTATCATAGACTTTTTTGTGTTTCGTTATTTTAAGTTGTTTCAGAGATAACAAAAGTGAGGCAGAGATGTTAAATAACCAGCCTAACATCACACACCTAGAAGTGGTAGATTCAAATGTAAGCAGTTTTGTTCTTGAGCTGTGTTCTTAACAGTATGCCATACTGCTGCTCAGGAGTAAACAGGAAATTGTTGCTTGGAGTGTGGGGAACTCTTTCATTTTTAATTGTTTATGCCTTTGTGTACTGTCTAAATGATTTTCCTTCTGTATTGAACGTAGTTCTTAAAATATAAGAAAGAGAATATGCCCAGTGTCAAATCACTCCTGCCAGAGTGCTGTCCACTCAGCAACATGGATGCAGTACTTCAGAGCCTGCTTCTCCAGATTTTCTCTATGATTAATCCAAGGCCATGTGATCACTGGTTTCTTACCCTGCCATCTACCTAAACATTATATGATTACGAGGAATTTCTGAGAGGCTTCCTCTTTTGTTCTCAAATTCAAATTCATCATCTTCAGTCTATATTTTTTCATTTGTACCTGTAGATGAGGCATGTAAGATTACTGATTAAGAATAAAAAGTTCTAGACTCCAAAAAAAAAAGAAAAAAGAAAAAAAAGATTTACTTGTTATGCAGATTCCAAATTAGTAAACCTCAGACTTCTAAAAAGAATTTACAGTAATCCTGTTGCAAAAGATTTTAACTCTACTGGAGGCATATTTTAGAAATGGAAAATCTGGACTTTTTTTTAGCCTGAGAAAAATACATCTTTGGTAATTGCAAATTTCTAAACTTTATCTTTTCTCTTGAAGGCTCAGTCCCAAGATATAGTTCCAACTATAGGATTCAGCATAGAAAAGTTCAAGTCATCCAGGTAATGGGAATTGGCCGGTGGCTATGAAATTGTGGCTCAGAAGCAAGAGTAGATCTGCCTGCTCATCCCTTCTACTCTTAATAAAGTAACATTTTTATACCACTATCTCTGCTTTATTGTTTAGAACTTAACCGTATTTTGAAAGCCTTGCGTGCAAAGAAAATGTCTTTTTAAAAATATGTTATTTGTTACAAAATCTTATTTATATTAATAAATTCATTTTGGGGGAGTTTTACTTGGAAAAATATGCAGCAATGGTGATTTGGTTGAAAACAATTTAAAGTATTAAGTAAGAATTATGCTTTGCCTTCCCCTTTTCTCTGCCCTAGTTTGTCTTTTACAGTATTTGACATGTCAGGTCAAGGAAGATACAGAAATCTCTGGGAGCATTATTATAAGTAAGTATGTTTGTGAATGTTGCTTAACTAGATAGCTATATTTATCATACGTAATGGTTGAAAGTGCACGTGGTCATGTGGTATAATAATGTTTATTTTTATGTAATTGTATCTCATTTATTAACTTAAGAAACCATACTGTACATTATTTCTCAAATGTTTCATGTCCTTTCATGATATTAGACATTTGCATGGGCTGTTTGCTCTGTCTTTAATGTCCTTTTCTATCCTGCTGCTTTTCAGTTTATGGTTAGTGTATTCATGCTTCAAGAACAAAGTCAAAAATCATCACTTCTGAGATGACACTGTTTTTGCAGTTATATCATTTCTTTAAAGCCTTATGTTATTTAGCATGTACATCAAAAGTATTATTGATGAAATTTAGTTGAGATGACGGTATTGCCTAGCTTTTGTTCTGTTCTATAAGAGATTCTGGGCAAGATATTTTTTATCATATGCAAATAGAATACTTTTTTTTCTTTTTGTATTTTAGGGAAGGGTAAACAGGGTGTAGTGATCCGCCTGTTTACAGCCTCCCAAGAGCTGGGATTACAGGTGTGTGCTGCCACACCCAGTCTCAAGTGCTGTCTCAACGCGCCCTGGGGGGGCGGAGCCAGCATGGCAGACCCCGGATCAAACGCCCGACCCCTGCGCCTAGAATACATATTAACGATTTCAGATTTTCACAGTTGTCAAGTTGCTAGCATTTACATGTATTTTATCTGCTCAAAATTTGCATGAGATATTAAAATAAGTTCATTAACTTTTGTTGCTTAGAATATTTCATGTAAGAGCAGTGTAAATTTTAGAATCTGAAACAATATATACTTATTTTGAAATAACCAAAAATATATACAACAGTACTTTTTATTTTATATTTTTAACACATAAGAGATGATTTATTGTACACACTTTACACTCTCCAAAAACAAGAATAGAAGTAGTTCGTAGTACACTGGTCCAGGGCAAACCCCAGGGGACGGCGTAGTTTGAACCAGGTGGTCTCTCTGAAGCAGTTTTGGTGGTCAGATGGCAGTGGAGTCCCAATCCATTGAAACGCAGCCCAAGACCCACGCCCGCGCTGCCGCCCCGGCACTCTATTTCTGCTCCTCGGGCCTCCAGGGTGTGCGAGCTATTTTCCTTGGACCTCTGCCTCATCATTCTTCTTTTGCGCTTCAGTCTGTGCAGTCGCTTCTTCTTCCACTTGGTTCTCTTGGCGCAGAGGTCTCTAAGATGCTGGCGTTCAAGTCGAGAGACAACAGTACTTTTTAAAAGGAAACCTTTTTTCTGATTTTTAATTCTTTTTCAAAATCTTTTTGAAAAAAATTAATGAATTTAGGAATATTATACTTAAATTGTAGATGGAATAGTACATATGGTTACTATTGAGAAATCTTCAATAATTTATTTTCTCAATATTTTTCTAATTATAAAATGTACATTTTAATCTACTATACTGAAAATATTTAAAAAATTTACTGACTTCCATTGTTGTGTTTATTTTGACTGTCAAAATGAATGCTTCGGCTGGAGAGATGGCTCAGTAGAATAAGCACTTCCCTGGCAAGCGCAAGGGCCTGAGATCGATCCCCGGTTCCGAAAAAAAAAAAAAAAAAGAATGCTTCTATGAAAGAATATAGTATCTTTTTTAGGGTAATTTATCAATATCTGTTAAATAATAGTCATATTCTTTGGAAAACATTTTTATTTTTATCATATGTGCTATGATTAGGACTGTTGGGCAAAGCTATATATAGATAAATGTCTATTAGCATTGTTTGTAATAAAATTTTTATGTCTCATGGTAAAATAACCATCCTTAGTATAGATAAGTTGTTAGTGTATCTATAGAGAAGAAAATTGTTAGTGAGGTGTACACCACCCTATTAATAGCATTTTTATTTTAGAAGAGTAGAATTATAAGGAAAGTCTATTTTCAGACATGTGATTCTTTCATGTTAATTATATAATTTCTATGTACAATCTTTACACTGAAAATAATAAGTACAAAGTAAAAGGAGTACACTATTTTTAAACTTCAGAAAATAATATTAAAATATAAAATTTACAAGTATAATATAAATATTACTACTCATAAATTTACCATTGTTGTTTGGGGTATGTTTCTCTTTGAAACATTTACATGGAATTTGCATAAGTGCAAAGAAAGGAGCCATCTAAATTATATACTATGTATACTTTTATCCTGTTTTTTTCAGTTAGCTTTCTATGATGTGGGTAAATCAGGAAAAATGTACAATGAATGTAACTAATGATTGTCTAATACTTTTTATAGAGCTTTGTCAGAATTTGCTTAATCATTCTGTTTTTGGAAATGAAGATTATTCAGTTTTTGAAGATTAAAAATTGTTCATGAGTTAACATCTTGTATAAATCTTAGCTATAGTTGATGTTTCTGTAGAATAATTCCAGAAATAAAATTTGATCACAATGATTGAACCTTTTAAAAATTCTTTACATACATTTCCAATTTTACTGTTCGTATACTTACTAGTAATACATGGTTATGTTAATCTAAATTATATTCTGTTAACTAAGAGAAAATGGTATTTAAACAGAGATGGTATTTAGTATATGTGCTGCTGAAGTGAATACCAGAAATGATGTTTAAACAGATAAAAGAGAATAGTATTGAAGTTTGTTTTTATTCATTTGATTACTGAAATAGCACTTTAAGATCATATGATTGGGATAAATGATTTAGAAAACATAAGCATCCAATAAATTATGAGGTATATTGACATCACTAACAATTATTGAAATATAAAGCAAATAATATGCTAAAATATATCCCCTGCATGTATAAAGACTTCAGCAAATCCGAAATATTTAAGAAAAAAAGTTCAGTGACTGGCTCTTACCTTTACAAAGAGTCAAGCAGGGTAAAAATAAAAACTATAAAGGATGCTTCAGACATTTATTTCAGATATAATAACTTGAGTTATATCTCCGTAACATGTGTTTTTCACTATGGCTTCTGGTAAAATATTGGAGAAATACTGTTGTTTACCTTCAGCACTTTATATAAAAATAATAGAGACCATACTGTAAAAACAATCAAGGAAATTTACATAGCTATCAGAAAAAGTATAAAGCGGCAGGATTCCATTTTAAATGTAGACGTGGATATTTGTCTGGGAATATACACAAAGAAAAGTATCAATTGATACCAAAATATGAATTGTGATTCTATCTGTGCACAAAGTTCATGGTCTTTTAACTTTTTCATATTATAATTGTTTAAATAGAAAATTCAGAATCTTAAAAAATACAAAATAGTGAAAAATAAGAAGAATTTACATAATATATAATCATGTTATGACTTAGCAACATAAACTAATAAGAACACTAAAACTTCCGATGATAAATGGGCCAGGGAGATAGCTCAGCAGCATAAGGCCTGCTTGACAAGCGCAAAGTCCCAAGTTTGAGCCCCAGTTCCACACACACATAGTACATAAGTTAGGAAATACAAATGGATAATAGATAGAAATATTGTGTGACTTTATTTCTTTGTATTGTACAGAGAAGGACAAGCCATTATTTTTGTCATTGATAGTAGTGATAAGTTAAGAATGGTTGTGGCTAAAGAAGAACTTGATACTCTTCTAAATCATCCAGGTATGTATGTGGTATCTTTCAGGCTGTGACATCTATCTCAGGAAGTTTTCATATGGGACATTTTTTCTTAGGTATCAGTAACAAGTATTTATGCTGTATAACTCTATTTAAAATGTTTGAAATTTAAAACTTAACTAGTTATGCAAAATTTATAAAAAGCTTGCTTATATCACCATTTTTTTAAACATGAAAGATTTTTGTACTATTTTGCCTCTAACATTTATTTCCTCAAAAATTAAAATGTCTTTTTGTACGAATTATGTGAATAATGTATGCCAATAGAAGAAAAAAATTCAGATGAAAAGTTAAAGTGGCAAAGTCTGTATGTTTCAAGAGCTGTTAAAATTATTTTGTTCACTATCATTTCATGTGCTTTTCTTTGTGTATCTGTGTATGTGTGTTTTTCACAGCAGTTGTGAAATGCTCATTACACTAATTTTTTTAAAACAGATCTTTTTTTCCAATCTCCAACTGTCAGCTCTGTCAGTATTTTTGATCATACTATTTTTAACAAGTTGGGGTTTTTTTCTTTCATGTTTATAAATATGATATAAAACATATATAAACCAATGAGGAGTTGGATTCTAGCTTGTTATATATCAAAATGAGACCATATTTTACACTCTTCTGCATCTGCCAATTCTGCATACCATGTGATGGAAGTGTTTTCAGGTTGAATTGCACATAATTATGTAATTGTTTCTCTTACTGCTCCTTAATATTCTGTCCTGAGTGCAAGTGCTGTCCAGTTCAATGCTGTTCTGCCCTCCACCTCAGCCATAGACTGTGCTTCCGTGAGCATTGTGGAACTCATCATTTCTAACTTTAGTTATGACAAAAGGATTTTAAGTACTCTTTGTGCTAGAATTCTTAGAAAAGTAAATAGTTGAAGAAGAACTGTGGCTTTGTTAAAATTTGAATAGAGGGCCAGGGAGATAGCTCAGCAGCATAAGGCCTGCTTGACAAGCGCAAGGTCCCAACTTTGATCCCCAGTTCCACACACACATAAAAAAGGAATAGAATTTAGTATGTAACTTTCTAACAATTCAAGCTACTTAACTGTATATTTTTAGTGTTTTTATCTAATAATCTTGGGTTTATTAAAATTAAAAATAAAAACTGTGACCCTCTATTTAAAATCTTATCAGTCTTAGGTCTGGGGTGAGAATGCATTTTTGAGTATGCATTTTTTTTAAATTGATTTTGTTGGGGCTGGGGAGATGGCTCAGTAGAATAAGCGCTTTTCTGGCAAGCACAAGGGTCTGAGTTCAATCCCTGGTTCTGCAAAAAAAAAAAAAAAAAATTAATTTTCTCACTTTCTCATAAAGCATTTGAATGTTGCCCAGCACAATGAGATAGTTTCTAGCAGTTCAGCTTGGAATATAATAGAACCTTGATTTTGTTAACAAAGCCTTATCCATGTATTCTATATGTACTAATATGGAACATGAGATACGAATTAAGTGAAAAGGTAAAGACATAAAGTAATGAGACTGGCACACTGTTTGTGTGACTAGTGGCTGTAATCTAGTGTATGTGCACAGTGGTGTAAAGACACTGACGTTGCCCGTGTACTGTGGAGGCTAGTTAGACAGCCTGTAACAGCAAAAGGTAGAGAGGCGATTCTCTAACTATGTACTGTTCTGTGTCTTCTCAGTTTTGAACTAGTTAGGTGTATTAACTTCAAAAACATCGTTAAGAGCAAAAACATTTTGTTAACATGTCTGTCTTCTCATTTTTAGATCTGTGATCAAAAACCAAAATCAAAATCTAGTTTCTCTTCCTTATATTTCTTCTTTGAAGTTGCCCTTTTTGTGTTCACATTAAAAAGAAAGCAGATAAGGTGTTTGACTTTTTGTGTAAGTGCTTCTCTGAATCTGCTTTTTGAACCTCTTCCTCTAATCTCGCACATCTTTGCTTAAAGCTCAGCTTTAAAGGATAGATGACTAAGAAAAGTGTGCTTTTTCTTATTGCTCAGATACATGCCTGACAATATGTGTCTCTATGTTCTGTATGTGATAAAAAAATATTATTATGAAAGTTTAGTTCATTTCAATTTTAAGCATTTGGGGCAAAGAGACTCAAAAAGTTGGAAGCATGATGATGGTCTTATTTTCTCTTTCAGATATTAAACATCGCCGGATTCCAATCTTATTCTTTGCAAACAAAATGGACCTTAGAGATGCAGTGACATCTGTAAAAGTATCTCAGCTGCTGTGCTTAGAGAATATCAAAGATAAACCATGGCATATTTGGTAAAGCTTTATATTTCCATTTTATTGCATCCTTTTGAAAATTCTCCAAGATTTGATATTTTTGGTTTCTCCTACTCTCATTTTATAGGTGGTTGTAAGCTAAGAATTTTGTTTTATAGAATTATAGCATTACAGGTATCCCTAAATAGATTACTGTTTAAAATCCTTTTAATCCTTTGGGGGATAGAAAAATGTGGCTCTTATAATAGAATAATTTCAGTAGCCTACTTCTAGGGCTGGCGAGATCTCTCAGCAGACTAAGCACCTGCTTTGGCAAGCATAGAAACCAGGGTTCAATCCCTGGTCCCACATGCTGTGCAGGCCCCGCCCCCGGGCACCCTGAGCCAGCCACAGAGACCTGGCATAGTGGTGCACGCCTGTAATCCCAGCACTGGGGAGGCTGAAACAGGAGGATCACAAGGAGTCCGAGCTGCATAGTGAGACCCTGTACCACATAAAATGAAAATAAATAAATAACCAATTTGTTCATCCAGTTTCACTTATACGCATTTCCTTCTGCACATAGACTCAGCCATGCGCACCCCCTTCTTAGGGCACTTGCACGTGCCTTCCCCTTTTGTCTGAATTGCTCTTCAAAATAAGTTTCTGGCTTGTTATGGTACGGAATTCCTTGAGGACTACCGTTGTTACCATGGGAACTCTATTTATTTATAGTCTTATCTTTCTGTACTGAAATGTTAATTTATTGAGAAGTGGAATTTGGCAATGTTTTTTCCCACTTGTATAACCACTCCAATAGTGATAGCACCTGGTACATAATGGGTATACAATGATTATTTGCGCAAATAATAAATAAAATGTTCATTTTATTTCATCTTACTAATACGATTGAAATCTTATTGTTTGAAATTTCTAATAACTATTTTAAAAGTTTCTTACTAATATATTTAACACTAGGATATCTCCCTTTGCCTCTGCCCACCCCTGAAACAAAAAATAAAAACCATTCCTTTTATTTAAAATTATTAACAGTTTTAACAAGTTTATTCAGTTTTAATATCTAAATATTTCTCTGCTAGAGAATACTGATGTTAATAGAACATATGAACATATGAAATGTAATGCTGTTTTCTGCACAACTTATCAAATATTGCCAAAAATTTCTTTCAAATTTTTCCGAAATTTTGGATTCTCCCTCATCCAAACCTGACATCTCTTTTCTAAATTCAAATTAATGTCACTTACTAGCTTTGTTAGGTTTGCAATTTTAGAAAAACAGATATAAATTTGGAAATACATCTGTCCTTTTCCAGCTTTGCATATAAATGCAGTGCTCCATAACAGATAAAATATTACTTGTGTCTTATACTGCTAGGCTTAAAGTTATAAGCAATAGAAAAAAATCATAAGGAAGATTTGTCTAAAATATAAAAAAAAAACCTTTGTGGTTTCTTTGAACTAGTTGTATTAAACATATAGTCAATTCTGATTTTTACAGCCTAATTGTGTTATTGTTCTTACTGTGTTTTTGCACTTAATCCCTGGTACGGAGAGAGAGTATTTATTGGAGGGACAAATATTAAGTAAATATATAAAGTGTCAGCTGGGAGAATGAAGAAAAATAAATAGGATAAGAGAAAGAATATTAAGAAATGCTTCCATGCTGAAACCTTATTGAAGTCAGGGAGCGCTTAATGTGAACATTTAGTGAAATATCTGTCCAGATTGAGAGGACAGCAGAAAAACACTTTTCTTGGATGAGAATGCACCTGGCCATGTTTCCGGAACAACACGAAGTCCAGGCTGGCTGGAACAGAGCTCTCTAGGGAGAAACACCTAGGGACGATGGAGCACAGAGCATTACAGGAGTGGTTATGGCTTTAGCTCTTGCTCTAGTTACAAGTTCTTTTCATTTATTTGTTAGAGAGGAAGAAAGGTAGAATTCAGACATTTGAAACCTGTTAGGAAAAGATGTAAAGTTTTTAGGGTAGAGATTCTTCTATCACGAGAAAGGATTGCTTTATTATAGTGTTTGAAACTGTGTATATTATATGATCAGTATCTTGGCCTTTCTTTATAGAAGTATTTGAGTTACTGATATTTTTCTATTACTATATATAATCAGTAATTTGCTTTATGTAGTTGTATATTTAATGCTGTTTATTTCTGTCTTATTTTAAAATAATTCCAAGGGTAAGCCATATTTGTAGTCTAATAAATAATTCCTAGGAAGCAATTTCTTTCTATTAGAATCAGATTGATTCTTTTAAGTACTATATTTTAATATTTTACATGATATTTAGGCACTAAAAGGAACCTAATCATTTGAGAAAACTAATTACATATTAATAACTTTTAAACTGTTATATGTTGCAAAGAAATGACTGGATCAATGACATGTTATGAGAAAGTATTGGTCTGTATTTTTCAGAAAATTATGTGATACTTTAAAAGTACTCTGCATTGTTATTTTAGTTTATGTAACTTAGTTATGAGTATATGTAATGTATAACAATAAATATTTGTTTATTTTCTTAAGACTGAAAAGCAACAAAGGTATTCTGGTTTTGTTTGGTTTTTTTCTGTATTTTAGGGAAAGGTCTACAGCGTGTTCAGGGTGTAACCACTACATCAGACTCATAGTGATCTACCTGTTTACAGCCCCCCAAGTGCTGGGATTATAGGCATGTGCCACCACGCCCAGTCTCAATTGCTGTCTCAGTACACCCCTGGATGGGGCTGGCATAGCAGGCCTGGGGATTGAACCCCTGGCCCCTGCGCCTGCTTGCAGGTGCTTTAATCCACTGAGCTATTTGACTGGCACTGGTTTGGGTGTTTTATATGCAAACCTTCAGTACCCAGTTCTCAGAATAACCCAGACAATAGAGCTGAATAACCTACCTAAGTTCCTGTAATAAATATAATAATTAATACAACTGTGTTTGAGATCAACTGGGTTCTCATGTTATCCTACCAGCTTATATAATATAATTATGTAATTATACCCTATAGATACAAAATTCTACTTCAAATAAATAAGTCACTTCATTTTATGACTATATCATAACTTAAATAAATTCAACCTTTCTTTGTATCTTTCTTTCCTTCCTTTCTTTCTTTCCTTCTTTTTCATTCCCTCTTGTGTTTCTGCCTGCCTTCTCTCTTCCTCTTTCTCTTTTTCCTTGCTTGCTCTCTCTCTCTCGCTAGTACAGAGTATTTTACAACTCCAAAAAATAATGCAAAATATATGTATTATTAGTATATACTAATTACTATCCCAAAATAATTTCATTAATAGACTTTTGAAAATATCTACACATACTATGAAAACATAGTTTCAAAGCTTAGCCAGTTTTCCTCAAGTATGTTACTAAAATTATTAATTTTTCATTTGGCAGGACTATAATTCTTTATTCATTCAGTTGGATATAATGAAATAAATTTGTTTCTTATGGATTGTATTTCAGTGCTAGCAATGCCATAAAAGGAGAAGGATTACAAGAAGGTGTAGACTGGCTTCAAGGTATAGCACAAAGTATTGTTTTTGTTCAGCCTTTGTTTCTTCTCCGTATTACTTTATACATTTTACTTTTATTGGATCCTTGCTCTTTTGCTCTTCAGTAGAGTAAGTACATAATACCTGGCTCTCTTACTTTATTAACTTTTCTTAAAGACTTTATTTAGCATATTTGCATCTTTAAACGGATATATAAGACACATCTAGAAAATAATTTTAGTTTATGACACCAGATTGCCATCCGATCTAGTGATTGACAAACATTTGAATTTCTGCTTAAGTGTTAGGCCTCATAGTAACTAAAACATGAAAGGTGTGCATGGTGGTGCATGCCTGTAATCCCAGGACCTGGGAGGCTGCAGCGGGAGGCTTACTGCAAGCTTGAGGCCAACCTGAGCTACAGAGTGAAACCCTTTCTCAAAAAGACCAAAATAAATAAATAAAAAGCTAAGAATTGAATCTGAGTAGCATGTACAGTGTCTCATATTTTTTAAGAATCATGCTTTTCATGCTGTAGTTTTATTTATAAATACACATAAACAGTGTACAACCTTTTTGGTGATCATTTTCTCTTGAGCCCCTTCCCCCTTGAGAATGATTTATTAACAAACATGTTTAGTATTGTAAGTGCTGGCATTCTGTGTTTCATATATTTGCAGTTAGTAATAGTTGGTTTGTATGTAAGATGGCAGGGAATGAATAAGGTATATTACCCTATAGTTACATTATCTGTTAGCTACAAGAATAGCTTTTAAGTACACAAAGCAATGAATGTGAGTGAAGTTTCATAATACATAGGTCTCTAATCTAAAAGCTCGATGGCAGGTCAAAAATTTTCTATTTCAAGCAGAGAAACAGGAGACCATTCCTACTGTAAATTTTACTACTTTGGACAAAGATCAATAGTAACGTAAAAATTTGATATACCAGGCATGGTGGTGCAATGCCTGTAATTCCAGTGCTGTAGAAGCTGAAAACAGCATGATCACCATGAGTCCAATCAGCATAGGGAGACCCAGTACCAAATGCACAAATGGAAAAAAATTCTAATTATAATCTTAGGGCTAGAAATTAAAATTTTTTCTGTATTAACATTTTAATGCCTAGTATGTATGATTTCTTTTTTTCATCTGCAGTTTTGGAAATAATAGCAGGAATGCATGAAACATATCATTGTGAGTCACTTACAAGTTGCCTGCCTGCCTCCTTTACTAATGATACATTTCCAAAACATTTGTATGTTACTGTACATTGTGGTCGTTTGGTCAACCATCCAGACCATTGTATTTGTTTTGTATTTTGCAGTCATGTCATTTACCATCAAACTGCACAGAAAAATTCTAGTCACAGTTCATGATTAAGTAAAATATAATTGGGAACTGCTAGAGGTTCTGCAAAGAAATGGGAGTTTTCTGGGAACTCACTAGCTTAGACTTTTGGAAAGATATAGTCCAAGTTATAGGGTCGATTCCCACTAATAGAGCACAGAGGAAAATTCTAGGAAAGATACCAAAAGCATATTTTCAGCCCTGATTTCTTACTTTACAAGTGCCGGCCTTTACTCACAAGTGAAGATGTAATCCAGAGCATAGTACTTACAGAAAACAAGTTGGTGTTTAGCTCAATTTAAAATTGTAGCTCTGGGCTGGCGAGATAGCTCAGTGGTCTAAAGCGCCTACTTAGGCAAGCTCAGGCAAGCATGCAGGGACCTCGGTTCGATCCCCAGCACCACATGCCATGCCAGCCCTGCCCCCAGGGTGGGCTGACCTGACCATTAAAAAATAAATAAATACAAAATAAAATAAAATTGTAGCTCTTTGCTCCTTTGCTTGGTCCTTTTCTGGCTTTATTTTAGCTGTCACAGTCAGGTCACTGGTGTCAATAATGATCCAACACAGCAGTACCATACTCCCTTGATTGCAAATTTTTATTTCTCTGGCTTTTTGAACCACTATCTGTCTTGCCTCCCTGTCTTTTAAGGACACGTTGTTGAAGTACATTTCTGTGTCCTTTGTTGCCATATTACTTCATGTTCCCTTTCAGCAGTCTTCTGCAAGGTAAGCAGTAGGACCCTTATTTTCTATAAGTTTCATAAAATAATTACAGAAATACTCGGGCTTTAAGTCCAGTAAATTTATTACTACATATGAACTGTGTATTAATTAACCTCACTGCCCTTGCAAAGATAATCTTCATCTGTAAAATTAAAATTTTAAATTGTAAATTAATGTACAGATTAAATTATTCTGTCTGCTAAAGTAACTGACATAGGAAAGCAATCAATAAATGTTAAATATATACTTTCCTAACCATTCTAACAGAGCAAAAACTAAGTACATAGAATTTTAAAATAGAAAGGTATAAATTATTCATATTTCTGGTCTTAGTTATCTCTCTGAAAAGCAATAAGCACTCATCTTACAAAATAATAACAGTAGTATAGTGTGGGTTATGTAACTTCTGCTTGCTAGCAAATGGAATTTATGTAAACTTTACTATAAAGATGTTCTGGACTCACGGCTTTTAAAATTTGGAAATTTCCTAGCATGATAAACAAGAAGCCTCCTTGTTCATCTTGGACCAGTTTTGTATTTTAGGATTAGAAAATTACTTGTGAGATATTGAATGACACATTTAAGCTTATGATTCTGTTTTCTTTTGGAAAGATTCTCAATAACTGTATGTGTATAAATGCACAAAGACAACATTTGAGTAGACTATGAAGTCTTTCCTTTTTATTTTTTTTTCTTTTCAAAGTTTTATTGATAAACATATAGCAATGAGACAGTTTCAAATCAAATCGAAAGTACAGTTTCAACAAATAATAC